ATCCCCCATCTTCCAGTATGTAGATGTTACACCCACAAACTGCCCCGGCGCGTTGTGTAATCCCATCAATGGCCAAGACCCAGAGACTATAAAACCCAGCTCCCGGAAGCGCCCAGCCACATTTGTGGCCAAGCAACATCTTATTATCTAGTTCTTACTATGGAGAACCTGACAGGCTACCAAAAGTATCCTGCCCACATGGCAGACTCTGGCAAACTCCCTGTGGCATATTCAATACACCAAAAACCAGTAACAATGATGGGTCTCATTATCCTGACCCTGAAAGAGACTCGAATGTGGCACTTTCTAAAATCTCAGGGCTAGGACGAAGGAAACGTTACTGGTGCCTGCTCGAGAAAATCAAGGAATAACAGGATGACAGTGATACAGTGATACAGTGATATATATTTTCTGGGCTGGAGCAATAGCACAGCGGGTAGGGCGTTTGCCTTGCACGCAGTCAACATAGTCAACCTGAGTTCGATTCCTCTGTCCCTCTCAGAGAGCCTGGCAAGCTACCGTGAGGATCTCGCCTGCACAGCAATGCCTGGCAAGCTACTTGTGACATATTCAATATGCAAAAAAAACAGTAACAACAAAGTTTCACAATATGTTTTAAGACGTTACTGGTGACCGCTAGAGCAAATCGATGAACAACTGGAAGACAGTGCTACTGTATATTTTCTGTATTTTAGTTCTTCATTTTTTTACATTTCTTTTTAAAAATCTGTCAGTTCAACATTTATCTTTGAAATGTATTGTTAATTTTTATTGTTTAATTATACCTATCATATATATATATATTTCTTATTATTTGTATCTCTATCATCCAAAGAGATGAGAACATTCTTATTTGAGTTTGAAAACCAAAGAACATTTTTTCACACTGAGTAGGAAGACCTGAATCTGTAGGATATGCTTTTTTTATCCATTTGTTTTGTTTTTACGTATAGAAATTGTCATTTTTAACTCCCACATTAATCAAGATTAATGCTGGCTGCCTCTGACTAGACAACTCTATTTCTTTCAACAATATAAAAGGCTGTCAAATTCTTCATATAGCTAATTAGCACCCGCAAAGGAAAATCTATCTGCCTTCGCCTCTCTAAGCTTGTCTTTCTCAGTGATCTATAACATAGGATTATAAGGCATCTATGTTATAAATGTGCTGGTGAAATGCAGAATCCTATCTCTGTCATTCTGATGTCATTTAACTATTTAATCCATGAACATTTATTATTTCATTATCAAAAAGTTTGTTCTAAGGAAAATAATGAAATGAATATATTACTTCACTAATGTAAGCTTTTACATATTCAAATGCCTCACATATATGCAAAGAACATATTTACCAATATGTGATACATGAAGACAAATGGGGTATGATTGAACTGCTGGTATCCACAGACAAGAAGAGAGATGGTGTAAAATAATGTGGCAAAATGGGAAAAGATTCAGCCTTAATAAAAATAAACAATGTGACTCTTTTAGGGGGTGATAAAAGGCAAGGCTTGAAGGCAATGGGGAAAGGTTTCATACAAAAACATAGAATTTGAACGAAACTTTAAAGAATAGGTGGCTTCCCAGCCATGGAGCAAACCTCCTGGTACTTATCTCAACTATTCTTGGGTATTCGTATCCCATTCTGTTACATTATATTCCACAGATGAGTGCAATTTTTCTATGTCTGTCTCTCTCTTTCTGACTCATTTCACTTAGCATGATACTTTCCATGTAGATCCACTTGTATGCAAATTTAATGACTTCATCTTTTCTAACAGCTGCATAGTATTCCATTGCATAGATGTACCAAAGTTTCTTTAACCAGTCATCTGATCTTGGGCACTCGGGCTTTTTCCAGATTTTGACTATTGTAAACAAGTGCTGCAATAAACATACAAGTGTAGATGTCATTTCTACTATACTTTTTTGCATCTCCGAGATATATTCCCAAGTGTGGTATTTCTGGGTCAAATGGGAGCTCAATTTCTAATTTCTTGAGAATCGTCCATACTGTTTTCCAAAAGAGGGATGGGATAGGGGGGTGGGAGGCTTACTGGGATCATTGGTGGTGGAGAATGGGCAGTGGTGGAGAGATGGGTACTCGATCATTGTATAACTGAAACCCAAGCACAAAAAAATTGTAAGTCTACAACTGTACCTTATGGTGTTTCCCTAATAAAAATTAAAAATAAAAAAATAAAAATGAATAAAGAATAAGTGGGATTTGTGCTGGTTGGCAATAGCCAAAGCTCCTTGGCAAAGAGAACAGAGTGAGAGAGACTCAGAGATTTGTAGAAAATAAGGAATAGTTCAGAGTTCTCTGTGAGTTGGGGATAGTAGCAATACTTTTGGATTCTTAGAAAATGTGTAGCACTGTAGCACTCTCCTCCTATTGTTCATCAATTTGCTCGAGCAGGCACCAGTAACATCTCCACTGTGAGACTTGTTGTTACTGTTTTTGGCATATTGAATACACCACTTTTCCAATCTATGTTAAAACTGCACTGCAAGCATTTAAAAAAAAGGTATGAAAATGGCTGTAAGCCATATTACCTCAAAAAGATGATTTAAATAAAATAAGTATAAATAAAGTTCACTATGAATTGGGGCTAGAGCTATAGTCCAGCGGGTATGGTGTTTGCCCTGCATGTGGCTGACCTGGATTTGATCCCCAGCAACCCATATGTCCCAAGCACCATAAGGAGTAATTCCTGAGTGTAAAGCCAGGAGTAACTCCTGTGCATCACTGGGTGTGACCCAAAAAGAAAAAAAATTCACTATGAATCTACCACAGCTTGATCTTGAATTTATTTAAATTTATCTCAAGTTGTGATCACATTTGTCTAGTATCTCTATACCTCTCTTGGCAGTAAGGCCCAAGGTTTAGAAGCTATACTCATGAAACCAACACCACATCCTCCTGCAATGACAATTTACTGACCTAAGTAATAAACAGTAAACAATAAATGCAGATAACATAAGACTTTAAAAACTCAGAGGCAGAAAATTGGTAGGGTGGATGAGGATAAGAAGAGAAAGCAAAATTTGGGCTGGGGTGGGTAAAAAAAAAAAACTGTTTCAAGAGATAAGGATCAGGAATTGTTCACTGAATAAAATAAATACCCCCCAAAAAAAACTCAGATATCTTTTGAGTACATTATATTTTGTTTTAAAGCTTAAACTTTATTTACAGAATGTTTAGTTCAGGCTTTGTTTTTGACTCCACCCTCTTTTTGATGTGTATGTTCTTATTAGATTTTTTTTTCGCTTTTTGGATCACACCTGACAATGCTAAGGTGTTGCTCCTGGCTCTGCACTCAGGAATTACTTCTGGCGGTGCTCAGGGGACCATATGGGATGCTGGGAATTGAGCCTGGGTCAACCGCATGCAAGGCAAACACCCTACTCACTGTGCTATCACTCCAGCCCCTCTTTTTAGATTTTTAAAGATTCCCTCTCTAAGTCAAATGAATGGGTCTATTTTATTTCTCTTTTTCTTTTTTCTTTTTTCCTTTTTTAATTTTTACCTTTTCTTGATCAGTTGGTAATACTGAAATAAAATTGTCCAGGGTCACATCCTAAAAAAATTACAAACTTGGGAACTACTGACTATGTATATAGTTTATTAACCTCTTATTTACTTTGACTTTCTATTTCCTTTTTATCTTCAAACAAATTTGCTGGATGCTTATCTCAATTCTGGAAGGTTGGTGGGGAGTCAGAGAAAAAATACTTAAATAAACCGTTTTGAAACAAACACTTAGTTTTCATCGCTAATGCTCAAAATAAATTGGATGAAACTTAAGGTCTTTATTCACCTTAATAAATGAATAGCAGTAACCAAACTAATGTATTTAATTTGAAATAAGTTTCTCATTTCAATCAGAATCAAATAAGTCCCCTTTAAAGTTCCATTAAAAAGTAAGGGAAGAGAAAGAATTCTAGATTAACAAGCAAACCAAAGGCCTAAGGATATAAGAGTTCTGAATGAAACAACATATGCTGACATAAGATTAACAGCAGTTAAAAGTTTTACAGAAAATTTGCTTGACTTACCTGACCCTGTGACGATTACCATATGTTCTTTCCTGTCTAAAACAATAAATTAACATATTATGATTTAAATAAGGGCTAGAGCGATAGAACAGCGGGTAGGGCGTTTGCCTCACACGCCCAAGTACGATTCCTCGGTCCCTCTTGGAAAGCCTGTCAAGCTACCAAGAGTATCTCACCCACTGGCAAAGCCTGGCAAGTTACCCGTGACATATTCGATATGCCAAATACAGTAACAGTAAGTTTCATAATGGAGACCTTACTGGGCCCACTCGATCAAATCGATGAACAACGGGAGGACAGTGGACAGTGGGTATAAATAAGAAGTTGGGGAAATTTTTGGAACATTTATTTAATAGATTTAGTTACATACTTCTAACCTGCCAGTTTCTTGTTCATATCTTAATATTTACAATCAATGCTATATAAATTATTCATTATTGTTTGGGATATAAAGCAAAAATTTAAATTTGAAATTCAATAAATATTCTTTAAAAATTATGGTAGACAGCAAAGTTAAATAAAATATTAACTTGCAATTCACACAAAAGTTATCTTCTTATTCCTTCTTATTCCTTACAAATAGGATTCGTCTATATCTTAACAATTTTGAATTTTTTTGAAGGAAAGGAGGTATCAAAATCAGAAATTCCATAAATGTCTCACACAGAAATGAAAAATTATTTCAGTGCTGTGTGGCTAAAAAAGTGCCTCTCAGCAACTTATAATGTTCTTAGGGCATAATTGTTTTATAATTCAGTAGCTAAAATAACAGTTGTGATTAGAATACATGAAATATGAGAAGCAGATAACATTACTCATCAAACAAAAACTTACAACACCCATATTATCTGTTCAACTCATGCATATACATTTGAACAAGAGGCATCCCAAAACTTCATATTTATTTTTCTAAAATCATGTTAATTTCTTATTTATTTCAGGCATTACTAGAGACTCAAAATTTACTGCGCACTCAGGTTGCAAATTTTACCTTCAACCTTGGATTTTCAGGGAAGTTTTACCACACAGGTAAGAAGGAGCTTTGTGTTCTCAGGCAGCTACATATAAATAGGAAAGAGGATTTTAAATGTTTCATAGGTAGGAGAAATGGAATATCCAGCTGATGAGGGGGAATATCGTGGGCGCATTCTATGAGTAGCCAAATTCAAATTCAATAAGCTTGTTTTCTTTGGAAACACTGTTAGAATTAAGGACAAAAGAAAGAGGTAATTATTTCAGCTCAGTAAAGAAACCATAATCGTATTTCTATGTATCTCGACTCAGGATTGTCTAAATAGAAGGCATAACTGTGAGAACAATAGCAATGATGAAGACAATGACTCAAATAATAATGTGATCGACAATGTTTTAAAATTGGGGGTGACGTATCAGTTTTTGTACATATTGTTCTTGTTTGGAAAAGATCTGGGGATTAGAGAGGAATTTTATAGCCTCTAAGAAAATTGTTAAACTTAAAAAGCCATCTTGCTTAATTGATTTTCCCTTGCAGAATTTCCCCCATAAAAAATATTATGAATAATTTGACTGAAGATGCATTTGTAGTATAAACATCAGATCTGTATTTCTCTCCACCTTTATCCAACCAAAGTTGCACTTTTACTTCAACCAATTCTCAGAATGTGCTTCGCATTCACATTCCATTCTGTGGTCTGATAGTTCTTTCCTCTTTAACCAATTCACCTTCATGATTTGAGTCTTTTTGTTTTCTTTTGAGAAATCTTCATTATTAGTATCTTGATATCTGGCACTACTATTAAGGAAAATTTTGTGTATAAAAGTATCCAACAAGAAGAAAAATTATTCAAAATTATGTCTTAGAACTATTGTGTTAGGGCTATGTCTGGCCTCTCCCTCATTGAGGTTAATGTAAAGCTTTGTTTAGGAATTTCCATAGTTGTTCATTGTTATTTCACAGTACCTTAGTGAAAATATTTTCTAGTAGTCTTTGTGCATGCATGCAGTTTATTGACTTGTTAAAATATCTTCTGCAAAGGAAGTCTTTAATTATTACAAATGCAGCTCATTTACCTAGAGTTTCATTTCATGTTTATCCAACAAGGCTCAGCATGGTTTATTAGAATATTGTAGCCAGCAATGCCATATAGGCTTTTCTTTAATGCTTCCACCCCGCCCCCCCATACACTTTCTTTGAAACGTGAAAACATATTTAAAGTAATATAAGTAAAATTAGGATTGAGACTAGTTGATAAATCAAATGCTTGCATATTTTAAAGGACAATTTTCAGAAAGAGATTTGGATCATCTTATCTGCAAAGGAAAGCAATTCCAGCTTACAACTTTGAAAATAGACATAGTTTTGTAAATCTTCTTCAAAAGCCCCCTCCAGAAATGAATTCAGGCCTAAGAAGCTCTGGCTATGAAGTTATAAAGCAGATAACTCTAACGGCTTTATCTGGTTGTGCAGGGGGAAAATTGTGGGATTATTTGGAGTTCACGCGCAAACAATACTATTTTGCTTTAAACAGCTCTAAAATGTAAGTAAAGCTGTTCTTCTGGCTGAAATATATCAGGATAACTGTCTCAGCTTGTATTTACTTTTCATATTCAGACCTGTGAAACCTGCCAGACATTCACAGATTCAATGTCTCAACATCAGGCAGTTTATAACACTTCCATTTCTTCTTTATAATCCTGACTGTGTATGCAGTACACACACACACACACATACACACACACACACACACACACACGGCAATAAACAACACACTGGTCTCACAGACAATATCACAGAATACTTGTTGGAAAAAATTATCCACCCCCACCCCAAGATATTTTAATTTTATATCCCCAGCTTCTCATGTTGTTAGTAAACTCAAGGAGAATAGAAGAGTTGCTGGAGTGATAGCACAGCAGGTAGGGTGTTTGCCTTGCATGCAGCCAACCCAGGTTCAATTCCCAGCACCCCATATGGTCCCCTGAACAATGCCAGGAGTGCAGAGCCAGGAGTAACCCCTGTGCATCGATGGGTGGGATCCAAAAAGCAAAAAAAAATAAAATAAAGAAGAAGAGGATTTTTATTCTATGCGGGGAAAATAGAGCTTACTGGCATGAGAGCACACTTTGTTTACAGGAACCCCAGATTAGAAACCAGGCACGTTATGGGGGGACTAGGGGAGGGTTAAGAGAGAACACTCAAACAAAGGAGGGAAAAAATGGCTTTATTCTCTTATGACCGTGCACCTTAGAAAGTGAGCATAAACATAAATTTGTCAATTCTAGATGTTTAATTTGCTTCACACATACATAAAGCGTTAGTTGCTTTGCTTCTTGGTAGAGAGAACTATTGAAATGCATCCGTTCCGTTTCATCGTTTCAAGGGACGTGCTAAGGACTTACTCGGTGAGATCAAGGTTGCTTGAGAAGGGAGTTAAATACTGACAGAGCATTCCTCTTCCTTCTCGAGTCGCAATATCTATAAGCAGGAGTAATCATATAGAAAACAAAGATCACAGATGAAGGAAGTGCTTCGCCTCCCAGTAGGCTTGGCTGTGATGTGTAAGCAGGAGGAGATGGCCTTGTCTCAATGACTCTTCTCTCCCGGGATGATCTGATTTCCCAGTGCATGAGGATGCTGATTGATGAGCCTCATTGTTTTGAAGACATTTAATCACATATGCCCAGCGTAATAATGATAGATTCTGCATTTCTTAGGCTGCTTTCCTTATTTGTATTTCCACTGTATTCTTTTCTGTTCAGTTTCTCTGTCCTTCGCATGCTAAAAAAATACCAAAAAACCCCGAAAAAAACGATCTCACCCCAAAATGGACGCATCACTAAGCCTTCCCTAAGAGTCCCTCTCTCTTAGGTACCAAATTGAAAGAGGAAGGACATCTTGTTGATTAAAAGGCAAAAATAAATAAATAAAATGTGGAGTAAAACATTGAGAACGAAACATTTTTGGTCTGGAAATATTTAAAGCTTGAGTGAAAATGCACACAGAGAACTCAGTTGAGAAATTAAGACATCACGACATTAAGACAGACACCATCTAAGAAGAAAGGGCTACAAATACTGTGTTTTCTGTAGAATATGGTTTCTGGTGACAATCAGTGCTATTCATTCATGCAATCAGTAATAAATTGAAAATGGCTGAATCACTTCATGGGTAATATTTGCAAATTGGATTAATATTTGTCTCTAATGAAAATTCACTTCACAAAAATTAGTTCTTTATATAAAATTATTAACACGAAAGTTCTTTGAAGAAGCATTATATTCATTCTCCTATGATTTAAAGATCGAAACAGACTGCTTTTATTCAAATACATGCTCTGATATTTCACTCCCTGAGTATAAATCGGTTACTTAAACTGCCTATGCCGCAGTCTCTGCATATCCAAAATAAGATTAATATCTCTCATTCATAGCCAGTACATACATATTGTTAAAATTTGTCTTGTGCTATTACATTAATATATACTTTTATATAAGAATAATAAATGTTACCAGAAAAGTAAAAAGGGAACAATTTACATGACTGAACCTTTAATTTAGAACTGTAGACTGTTTTTCATGTTTTGATTTGTTTTTATTTGATCTGGGGGTCACACAGTGGTTCTGTACTCAGGCATAACTCCTTATGGTACTCAGGGGACCATATGCAGTGCAAGGGGTCAAACTCAGAAGGGCTTATACAAGGCAAGCATCCTGACCGTATGGTGGTGTATAGTTGGCTTTAATTAATTTTATATTCATGAATTCCTTTTTGCATAATCTGGAATTTAAAGCCAGTTTATTTTATACCCACTTAGCTGACTGTGCCATATTCACATGTTTAAAGGAAATTATAAGGTCTCCCTATCATTTAAGAATTATAATATTTTATAAACAATGAGTAAATACAAGAGGTATTTGAACAAAAGCTAATAATGACAGTAAAAATTTAGATATTTTATTGCTATAATTTTCCTTATGAAGATTAATCTATTACCTAAAGATTGCTAAAATTATTTTTACTTTAGTAGGGTTAAAAAAAAAGCAAGCACTTCAAGGGGCTGGAATGATAGTATAGCGAGTAGGGCATTTGTCTTACACGAGTTCAATCCCATTATCCTATCTAGTCCCCTAAGCACTGCCAGGAATTGTTCCTGATTGCATTGCAGAGCCAGGAGTAACCTCTGAGCATTGCTGGGTGTGTGTGTGTCTCTCTCTCTCACACATACACACAAACACACACACACACAAGCAAAAAAAAACTTCTAGAAAATTATTATTGTCTCATACACAGACATCCCAAGCGTAGTAACAAAAAAAATAAACTTTAACTGTTTACTTCTAATTCTCCCAGGAGTCAAGAGAAAGAAAAAGATGGACTTTCCAATGAAAACAAAAATAGCTATATTTTAAATGAAGGACATAACATTGAATCCAGATCAGGCTGGAATTCAAAGTCTCAATCTGAGTACAGAAATTTCATTTAGTTCTTGTTTGTATTAATTTTGATTATGTTTGAACTGAACATTATTTCTCATACTAACATTTAAACATGCATTGGGTTTAAAGAAATATATATTTACAGTAAGTCAAAAATGTAATATTTTCACCTATTTGGACATGAAAACATTTCAGATATCTGCTTTGGTCTTTCAGCATGGTATTCTCTTTTTCATTAAGTTATTTCTGGAGTCTCAGTTTGCCTCATGTGGCTTTGCTTATATGACTGATATGAATGAGAGAAAGAAAGGCTGATGGGAAAATTAGAAAAAAAAGGAAGAAGAAAAATCTTTACTTCAACCTTATGGGGAGTACTTATAAGTTAACATAATCCTTATTTTAAAATACTGATTTTATGATCTGCCATACATCGTTTTATATCAATAGACTACAAAATTTTCTTTAAATTGAGTAATTGACCTTCTTTCTGGTTGAGTATGCATTATATGCTTCTTGCCACTTTCTATAACAGTCATCAGAGTTTAAAGTGAATGGAAGCATTTTTCAAACATTTTATATTCAAAGCACAACAAAAGGGGAGGTGAATTATCCATTCATTGATCGCATGTGACATCAAGTAACTCTAATCTATGCCTCAGTCTGCTAACTTATGGCCATGAGAAAAGTTGGTGTGCAGCATAAATACTTCGTGCTTAATCTATCTAAAACAGTAATAAACCTCAGTGCATTGCAATTTTGATACTTGATATTAACGAGTCAATGAGTTCCAAGCCTATACTGCTAATAATTTTGCTAGAATTCAAAAAATAATAATTGTGTCTCCTTATTCATAGAACATTATCGCTTTCAGATTTTTCTTTCTTTTTCTTCCACTTTTGCAAACTTGTGTTTTTTTGCAGGGGAGGGGCCACACATAGTTATGCTCAGTGCTTACTGCTGGCTCTGCTCTCAGGGATTACTCAGGGTGGGGCTCAGATGCACAGCTCAAGCTGTGTTGGGATCCATGGAACCAGGGTCAGTGGCACACGAGGCAGGCATCTGAACATTCCAAGATTTTTATTCATTAGTCCTTTGTATAGTGGCAGCTGTTATAATAGCAATTGGGGGAAAAACTGATTCCAACTGGTGTTCCTCTTGAGATCTGTGGTTTAGGGACTGAATTCCAGGAATAATGTGCATTAGAATATTCCCCCAAAGTCAGCTTGCACAGGCACTGACATAGGCTCTAAAGTTCACCAGCTTCTAATATAGATGGAGTCAGAAGATTAAACTATTCACTGCTCTGGGAAAGTGTAATAATACAGTGCAAGTCAGAGGAATATAATCCCTGACTTTAAAGAATTAATTAGCTAGACAGAAGTAATGTTCCGAATGTGTGAAGTGGCATGCATTTAGAAAACCATAGGTATAAATCCATAGGAATTATATTTAAGAAGACATAGATATTATTATTTATAAAGCACTCAATGTCTGCAAGTCACTGTGGTTTCACAAATATAATTATATTTTTAATTTTTATTTGTCATAATTTAGGTAGTTGCAGCATTGTTAAGGTTTAGGGCTTCAATATCAAAAATGACTGCACTTTCCTTCACTAGCACCAGAGTATCCAACTACACCACTGTCCGTGTCACTTTTAGACCACTCCAACCCTTGCCCAGCTACGCCCAGGCCCTTGAAAATCTGTTTTATTGTCAGAGCACCAGGGTTCGTTTTCACTGAACTCACCATTCCTTGCTTTGTTTCTTGATAAGCCATTTATGAATAAGATAGCCCAGGATTTGTTCTTCTCCCTCTAATTTATTTCTCTTAACATGACACCCTCTACATTTATCCAAGATGTAGCAAAAGACAATATTCATCTTTCCTTATGGTTTAGTGTATTCCTCTGTGTCATTTGCCACCCTTTTCTTTATCCAATCATTTATCATCGGACACTTGGGCTGTCCCCAAATCCAGGTCCTTATAATTAATGCTACAAGGGACACGGGTGTGCAAGCATCTTTTGAAGTTAATGCATTTGTGTTCTTGGAGAGAGTTTGAATTCGAGTCAGTTTTAAGTGCTTTAATAAATTGTCAACATTTACTTGGAAAAACCCTGTAAGCATTTTTAATTTCAATTTTTTAAACTTGTTTTTATTTTCCTCTGATTTGGTTTTTCAGATTGGTTTTATAAGAGTACAAATGTTTTGATGGTTTAGGAATACAACGTCATCACACCATATCCCTCCCCCAGTTTATAGAACACTTTCTGGCCTTCCTCCTCCCGACTTCCTATGGCACCCGAAATCCTATCATCAGAGCTGAAGGATTTGTTTTCATTGCACATCAACTATTTCTTTTCCTCGTATATGCAGGATCATCCAGTATTTTTTCTCCTGACTTGACTTCTCTGAGTATGACAAGCTCTGTTTTCACCTATGTTGTCACCGAAGGCAATATTTTTCCTTTCCTTACTTTTTTTGTTGTTGTTGTTTACTATCTTCTTTAGGAACCTAGAAAGCAAGATTCAGAGAAGCTAACTAGCTCAAATCCACATAACCAAGTAAAGAGAAGTGTGTCCTTCTACCATTGATTGATATTAAATATGTGCTTTAATTAAATTTCTGACTTAACAATAAATTGCTTGCACTAGCAATGACATTTTTACTATAGGACGCATAAATGGATTACTCAGAAAAAAGTCTTTAAAATGTGCTTTTAATAGTTCTCTGCTTAGTAAAGAATATAAAATCAAGCAACTTCCCTCTGTGAAAAAATAAATCAAATAAATATACCTCATACTACAACCCTGGCTTTATTGTTTTGCATTACTTAATTATCTAAAAATCAAATAGAAATGAATAAATTCTTGGGTTATTTATAAATGGGACTGAATACTATGAAATTGCATCAAACCACAGTGAAAATATTACAGCATACCTGGCAATAGTTTCCTTAAAATCAAATTAAGTTGTTTCACCACTTTTTTCATGATAAATATTTATAAGTGTATACATGTATATGGTTCTGTAAACAAATGTTTTTAAGAAAATATGAAAGGCAGTGCTAATTTTAAATTTTCAAGTCAACATTCTATTGTTTTAATAAACCACTGCTTAGGAAATATATAAAATTAAAAATGCTTATTTTCATATTTTGAAGTATAAAATATAGAAAAAGTATTTAGAAAGTTATAACATTTTGAAATTTAATTAAAAAATAATTTAAGGGTAAGGTACCAAAGTGTTTCCATTGATTAATTCTAGATGATGGCATTTTATTTTTTTATTTTTTTTTATTATTATTAATGAAACACCATGAGGTACAGTTGTAGATTTACAAAGTTTTGTGCTTGGATTTTGGTCATACCATGATCAAATACCCATCCCTCCACCAGTGCCCATTTTCCACTACCAGAATAATATCCCTCCCCCCCCATCCTCCCCATCCCCCCATCCCCCTCTGCCACTGTGGCAGGGCATTCCCTTTTGTTCTCTCTCTCCTTTTGGGTGTTGTGATCAGCAAAAGAAGCATTGAGTGGCGAACATGTTCAGTCCAGTCTACTTTCAACCTGCATCTCCCCTCCTGGGAGGATCCTCCAAACACCCTCCATTTGGTGTTCCCTTTTCTATCTGAACTGTCCTTTCCCCTAGAATACCCTGCTGACCTCTAAGCTATGGAGTAATCCTCCTGGTGTTGATCTCAGCTATTCTTGGGTATTAATCTCATATTTTGTTACTTTATATCCCCCAGATGAATGCAATCTTTCTATGTCTATCCCTCTCTTTCTGACTCATTTCGCTTAGCATGATACTTTCCATATTGTACCACTTGTATGTAAATTTCATGACTTCATCTTTTCTAAGAGCTACATAGTACTCCATTGTGTAGATGTACCAAAATTTCTTAAACCAGTCATCTGTTCTTGGGCACTCAGGTCTCTTCCAGTTTCTGGCTACTGTAAAGAGTGCTGCAATGAACAAACAAGTGCAGATGTCACTTCAGCTACACATTTTTGCCTCTCTGGGATATATTCCCAGGAGTGGTATCGCTGGGTCAAATGGGAGCTCAATTTCTAATTTTTTGAGGAACGTCCATACTGTTTTCCAAAAGGGCTGAACCAGTCGGCATTCCCACCAACAGTGAAGGAGTGTCCCTTTCTTGCCACATCCGCGCAACTCCTCATCTCCCATGTGCTTTCCATATTTCTTCAATAAGAATAGACTATTTTTGTCATTAGAAAAAAATAACAACCTTTATCATCGACATGTTAGGGTTATTTTTAGATTTATCTGCAGGAACAGTTTTAGAAATAAACTTAATAATCTGGGGCTAGAGAGATAATACAGCACATAGAGCACTTTCCTTGCCTTCAGCCAAACTTGGTTAGATCTCCAACACCACAGATGGTCCTGTGAGACTGGCCAGCAGTGATCCCTGAGCACTAAGCTAGAAGTAACCTCTGAGCACAGCCAGGTGTGAACAGAAAAACAAACCAAAACAATAATTGTCTCTAGTCAGGCTTCCCCTATACATGATATTATGGAAAGAATAATGGTTGATAGTTTTAAAACAAAAACAAACTATTTAAAATTGTGTCTGTATATTTGGTTACCATCATATATGCAAGCGGTTCTAAACAGTGTTGGTGATAATATAATGCTCAATATTAAACAATTATCTACACCCAGGATTTCTATACTTTCTCCATCCCTTTACCCCTGTTGAGATTTAATTTAGATATGGCTATTTGGGTTTTTTTGTTCTATTAAACATACACACACATATACACAAAAGGAAAAAAACCACAAAGTTGGATGTATGTAATAATAGCAAGGACAGTAATAAAAGTCAAGTGAACCTAAACTTTTAACTGTTGTGTAGTTTTCACTTCAGCCATTTTTCACTTCCTGTCTTACAGGAACTGAAGAGGAAGATGCAGGGGATGACCTTCTGCTTCAGTCTGTGGACGAGTTCTGGTGGTTTCCGCACATGTGGAGCCACATGCAGCCCCACCTCTTCCACAATGAGTCATCCTTGGTGGAGCAGATGATTCTCAACAAGGAATTTGCCTTGGTGAGTAGGTTTTGTCAACAATGGTGTCAAATTCGTGGGTTGTAAAATCAAGTGATAGGATTATATCTGATAGAAATAGACCAGAATGAAATATGTCACCTGCAGGTGCTACTGAGGATATATGTTGTTTATGTTATTTTGCTTCATGAATTCTTGCATAAACACATGAGCTAGGCTGTGATCTGTAATGTACGAAAAAAAAGAGTAGATCATGGTCTGAAAGATCATCCTCTGTTTCCTGGAAGAATTAGCCTTTGCAGATATGAAGGGAAAAGATAGCACTTCTTCCATCGGATCACTGGCACATTATTATTAACTCCTCACTTGTGTAAGAATGAATGAATGGGTTAAACAAATCATTAGATTGTCATTTCTGGAATTATATAGTGAGAAAAAAATGTTTCCTTGGGAGTTTTGCGTCATTATGCAATCTCATCGATAATGTTCTTGACATGATGCTTGTCCATTTCACTGTCCCACTGGGGAGGATTCCAGAAAAGGGTCAGAGCCATGACTTCTTATTGCCCTGCAGTAGACTTGCAGGCTGTTCTACGTTATCTCTTAGCACTAGAAATCCGGGGACATGGTGCTTTATGTGGCCTATTGTTGACAGGACGGTGTGGCTCAGTGGTTCTCAAATATTTTTTAGCATGTATCCCTTTCACCTGGTAGACTTCCCATGCGACAGACTCTCGGGCACACACTTTTGATGCAGTCATTTTTCAGGGCATAAAAGTGTGCTCATTTCTGGCAGGTTCCCAGAGGATGCTTGTTGGCCCTTTATTAACCATTCTCTAGAATAGGAGTTGGCCCGCTGCTTGCTTTTTATCATCCTGGAACTCAGAAAAGCGTATTTTTTTTCCTTTGAGGGTGTTTTAGTTTTAATTTGGCTATTACATTTCTGAATATTTGATAAACAAAGGCACAGTGTTATTTTGAGGCATCAAAGTATATGAAACTCAAGTGGCAGTGTCCATGAAGAGTCCCTGGAAGGTGGCCCCACCCCTCTCTCCAGGCCCTGACTGCTGCTGTTTCTCCTCTGCAGAGGCAAAAGGTTTGTCAACCCCAGAACTAAAACTTAAGTAATGTGTCCCTTTAATAATCTAATAAAAATGAAAGTCTTTTCTCCAGAAATTTACTCATATCCACATGCCACATCTTCCTTCAGCAGGAGAAAGTCAGCAGGAGGGTTGTAAGCCATCCAAAGGGCTTGGACCAGAGGTTGAATCTCTGTCTTAACAAGTTTCATCAGGCCAGAGAAATAGGACAGCAAGTGAGACACTTGTCTTGCACACCACAAGCCCTGGTTGGATCCCTAGCACTGTTCCCCCTCCACTGTGCCCTGAGCACCACCAGAAGTGATCCCTGAGCCCAGAGGCAGGAGTAAGCCCTGAGCACCCCCTGCATGTGGCCACAAAACAAAACAAAATAATTTTAAATGAATGCATCATATATACCTTATGAGTGCTGTGTTTCATTTTTAAGTCACATTAGGAGTTATAGATTTGACTCCAAATGAGATATTTTAATAAAGTTATGCAGCTATTTTATTAATGACAGGTCCCTCTTTTTCATTTCTTCATTCCCAGACCTATGGGAGGATCCTTAGTAAAAGTGTGAGCAATATGCAAAGCAGTTAAAAACTCTGCCTCCGCTACCAGAATTCCTGTATTTAAACCTGATATTCTGTATATGGCTGTTTCATTAAAAGCAAAAAGTTTCGAGCCTCTACATGACTCTCCTTCAGCACCTAGAAAGATGAGTGTCTTAATAATAACTATCTCGTATATACTTGATATTTGCATATAATGTCCTCAGAGCTTTGTCTCTCATAGTAACTACTCATTAGGTATTAACCAATTATGAAGTTTCTAAATCCAGATAACCATGACCCAGTGTTGCTTTCAAAAACAAATTTTATAACTATACAAGAGATTGATCTTTACTTAAGTTTTGATTAAAGTGTAATATATTTTGTTCGATTTCATAGCAGTGTAAAATTAAGTAAATAAGCCCTTTCCTTGAGATAGCATGCTGAATTTTGTCAGGATAGTTACCTGGATAATAAGCTGTGTTTATCATTGAGTTTAAATATCCTCCACTTCAATCACTCTCTGATGCCTTGCTTTCTAGTCATGTAGGTTATGCTTCATAGTGGATGATTTACCTGTTTGTAGTAATTTTTATATCTTGAAAATTATACCAGCAGCACTGGGAAAGACTTTGATGTAATTGCTTTGTAATGAAATGTTGAAAGCTATTTACAGTGCATTCAGAGCAATTACATTTGTTTAGTTGTGTGACTGGAAGTTCGACTGAACCCTATACAAATATTTTGTAAAAAAAAAACTTAAACCAAAGTCTTATTACATGTTGCATAGTAATAGTATAAATATATCAACTAAAAGAAAGCCTGGTACATACACATATAGAAATGGTCTTCTCCTTATTCTCCTGGAGTTCAGCTGAATAAAATTTCTCAGGACTCTTTCAAAGTGACACACACAACTCCACCTTTCACAGAAAACATGGGATGCCAACATGTGTATTGTCCACAGGGCCAAGAACTCTATTTTTTTATTACATTATTTTCTATCCATATTCATATGGTGCTACAAAACTATAAACATAACTTCAATGGGATAGGATTGTGAAAAGCACTAAATGAGATATTGGCAGGCTAAATTTGAGTGTTGACTGCTTGTGACAAGTTCTTTAGTGGTTATCATTGAGTTTTTGTGTCTCAGTTTTCTCCTATGAAATGCTAATGATTCTTTTTTTTAACTATCATTTTCTAAAGTACCAAGATTGGGTGATTAATTTATATAGTTCATCTGCCAACCAGTTATTCACTAAACCAGATAATGCCACTGATCAATTTCAATTCAAAATATTCTGATCATTGACTGTATCAGTCCACAAATTTGAATAAGCCTCTTGAAATATATCTCTGACAGCAACTGAAGCAAATATGGAAAAAAATAATTTTCAACTAAAAACATTATACTGAAAAAAATCACTTAACTATTTTTCATCCTGATATTCTTCCCTATTCCTATTTCCTAAGTATGCAGAGGTGTTATCAATGAAACAAATAGTTGCTTTCATGGCATTTATAAAATATTATTTAGATGACATGTTGATAATTCAAAATTATTTCATTGAAATGATTCATTCATTGAATGTCTTTGAATTCTTTCTGAATACAACTCATTTTCCATTGTAATGTATCTGAAAATTTTGAGAGACTGGCATTGCATGCTTGCTTTTTTACCTGTTCTTTATGTTAGAAGAGCTTTGATCCCTGGAAAACTTTGCCATTTCTTCATCTGTTCACGTGAGGGTAAGAGTGTGAATGAATGTGTCTTTGTGGAGGGTAGGGATATGCATATGTGTATGGTTGATTTAAAGGCATACATACATTCAGTGCTAGTGGGGGTGTACTTTTGATTGCAGATATTTTGTATGCATGCCGTAGGCGTATATGCCCATGTGTGTTTATGTAGGAGCAGTAGTTTAAAACAAAGTCAATGGCTACACTAGTTGCAACATACAACATTTGTATGGCAGTCAGATGGAGAAAATGGCACGGTAGCACTGTAGCACTGTCGTCCCATTGTTCATCAATTTGCTCAAGCGGGCACCAGTAACGTCTCCATGCGTCCATGTCATGCGCTAGTGTAGCCCAATGGTGTCCGCTCAGTCCAGGAACACGAAGTGAGATTTGTTGTTACTGTTTTTGGCATATTGAATACAGCACAGATAGCTTACCTGGCTCTGCCGTGAGGTCTGGATACTCTCGGTAGCTTGCTGGTCTCTCCGAGAGGGATGGAGGAATTGAACTCGGGTTGGCCACGTGCAAGACAAAGGTCCTACATGCTGTGCTATCGCTCCAGCCCACAGTAAAATAGTTTCAGAGTTTTTAATAGATCATCTTTCATTGAACACTTGCTTGAACGTGTCACAATAGTAAGTAACACTTCAAAGATGACAACAGAAAAACTAAGGCTGAAAACAGGGAACACTGGCTAACATTAAAGGGAATGAAAAATAAAAGTTACCCCAATTCATTTCAGACAACATACAAAAGTTGCTTTTCACCAAAACCAGAATGATTTAATTTTCTTCCACTATAAATCTGTGGGAATTAAAGTAAGAAATCGCATTTTGTTCTTTCAAATTCAGCAAGGAAACTGATTAAACTATCCAAATGAGTGAAGCCTTTTGGTTCACCAAGAGTTATAGATTATATGATATTACAAAAGGAAAATTTTCCTTTTGGTTCCAATCCTAATTTTACAATTTTGATGCAAATTTTCCTTAACATTTAATGTAATAGATAACTTACCTTCTCCAGGAGTCAACAGTTGGATTTTCAACACATGATCATCATTTTTAAGTCCCACTTTTTTAACTGTTACAAATATTTATAAACTCTATACAATGCTTTTTTTTCATTATTAGATGCACCATTTCTTATATGAAAAATGTTGACATTTAAATTGTTTTTATAAGAATCTAAACTCATCAAAAAACAACTCTGGATGATCTTTCAGTGTCATTATGGCCTGCACACCAAATCAACTATGTACAGGTTTTAATTAAAAAATAAAAGGCAAATGATGGTAGAATTGATGGCATGGTGAAACCAAACTGAGATAGAAGTGCCCTTCAGTGCCTCTTACACCTGTCCTTTCTGAATGATGCAGCATACTTTCTTGTTATGTGTGAAAAATGCCTTACATTTTTTAAAAAAAGGTAGTAATAGGTTATTTTAAAGATTGAAAATTTAGAAAAGACTGTGGCAAGTTAATGATTTTATACAAGTCCCCTATGTTGCAAATAATAGATTTTGAATGTTTAGTAATAAATCAGGGCATTTATACACATAGAAGAGTAGGGTGTGTGTGTGTGTGTGTGTGTGTGTGTGTGTGTGTGTGTGTGTATGTGTGTATTGAGGAGGGGTGGTGCTCCAGATCTCTTTCCTAGAATATTGCCTT